GATTCAGGCTTTTTGTTGAAAGACTTTAATCGTGGGACTCCTCCGGACCTTTACTAGCTTTAAATCCGATGCCAAAATACGCTGCCCAAAGAGTCAAGTTCCATGGAAGTTCCTAAAAAGAGGAATATTTCGGCAAAAGTAATTTTTCAATAGAGCCTGTGCCTGGGGCTTCAGAGCTTACCCCAGAGCCACTGCATACATTTTATCACTTCCTGAAGCTGGGTTTTACAACTGCACATTCCTGAAAATCTAAAACCCCCAATAATTGAAAACAAGAAAATCCTAGTCTTCACTTGTGGTGAAGCATCAATTTCTGGGTTGAAATCTTGGTTTGTTCACAATGCAATTTTTAAAACGTTACTGAACTTTCTGTACCTCAATTTCTTTGTCTATAAAAAAGGGCAAAAAAAAAAAAAAGTGCTTCCCTTGGCCAGGCGTGGTGGCTCACACCTGTAATTGCAGCACTTTGGGAGGATGAGGCAGGCAGATCATCTGAATTTAGGAGTTTGAGACCAGCCTGGCCAACATGGTGAAACCCCATCTCTACTAAAAATACAGAAATTAGCCTGTAATTCCAACTACTCATGAGGCTGAGGCAGGAAGAATTGCTTGAACCCGAAGGCAGAGGTTGCAGTGAGCCAAGATTGTGCCACTGCACTCCAGCCTGGATGACAGAGCAAGACTCTATCTCAAACATAATAATAATAATAATAATAATAATAATAAATAAACAGTGCTTCCCTCATGGATTAATCTAACATTTGCAGATCCAAAAGTATGTGAGACAGGTCTCTATAAATTTAGAAAGTTTACTTTGCAAGGTTAAGGAGGCACCCATGACACAGCTTCAGGAGGTCCTGGCAACATGTGCCAGAGGTAGTCAGGTACTGCTTGCTTTTATTCATTTTAAGGAGACAGAATACGTCGATCAATACATGTACAATTTACAATACTTCAATCTGGAAGGGCAGGACAACTCACAGTGTGGGGGGCTTCCAGATCTTAGGCAGATTTAACATTTTTCTCATTGGGCATTGGTTGAAGGAGTTATTATTCCAAAAGGGAATTTCAGGGTTAGATAGGGGGTTGTAGAGACCAAGGTTTTATCATGCAGATGAAACCTCCAGGTAGCAGGCTTCAGAGACAATAGATTGTAAATGTTTCCTATCAGACTTAAGGTCTGTGTTCATATTAACGCTGGTTGCCTTTTCCTGAGTTCCAAAGGAGGGTATAACAAGGCCTGTCCAACTGCTCCTTCCCATCACGGCCTGAGCTAGTTTTTCAGGTTAACTTTGGAATGCCCTTGACCTAGAGGAGGGGTCCATTCAGATGGTTGAGGGGGGGCCCTTAGAATTTTATTTTTGCTTTACACACTTGATGAGAAATACTCATAAAGCATTTGAGCACCTAATAAATGTTTATTAAACATTAGCTGCTATAAATGAGCACCTAATAAATGTTTATTAAACATTAGCTGCTGTAATTATTTTCAATGACATCATCACTACTTTCATATTTTACCTCAGCCTTTTAAATAACTGCTTATGTTTTTATGGTATGGATGAACCAGTGTATATTTAAATGGCCACAAAATGTGTCTAATGCTTATTCTTATAAATAATTATTCAGAGGCCAGGTGCAGTGGCTCATGCCCGTAATCCCATTACTTTGGGAGGCTGAGGTAGACGGATCACCTGAGGTCAGGAGTTCAAGACCAGCCTGGCCAACATGGTGAAACTCCAACTCTACTAAAAAGACAAATTAGCCAGGCATGGTTGTGGGCACCTGTACTCCCAGCTACTTGGGAAGCTGAAGCAGGAAAATCACTTGAACCCAGGAAGTAGAAGCTGCAGTGAGCCGAGATTGTGCCACTGCACTCCAGCCCGGGTGACAGAATAAGACTCCCTCTCAAAAATAAAATAATAATAATAATTATTGTTCAGAGAACATCCTTCTACAAATATCCTTCATTATTTGTGCAAGGATTTCTTAAAACAGATTTCTAGAAATGGACTTCCTTGTCAAAGTATTTGTGCCTTTCCAATTTTTCTAATTGGTCCTTGACTTCTAAAGAAGTTGTACCTAGTCATATTTCCGCATTCTAAGAGAATCCTCCTTTCTTGGCCACATTATCTGACATTTAATAGCAGCCCAAACCTCACTTTTGTTTGGGGAATGTTATTGCTAGCTGGTCTCACACACAGCCCTGAATCTTACATGTAAGAAGCTGGGGCCACACTGTCCTCCTTGGCTCTCCTGACCCTGAAAATTCTGGGAAAGTGGTTCACAGGAGAGACTTGAAGTTGGATTCACCTGGCTGTAAAAGTGCTGATTCCCACTGTTCCTGTGACAGAGAGCCCAGTCTTCAGCTGCTGAAAAAGAACTCAGACCTCACCCTCCAGAGTGGGGCCTTTAAGTTGGCTCAGAGTTGGTCCTTGGCCAAATAAATATTGAAAAGGGGAGATTTTAAATTTTCATCTAATTGAGACTTTATGTTATGGATCTTTTTCTTATTTTATTGTGGCAACAAGAGGAGAGTGTGCATCCTTAGGTCTTTATTGTTGAAACTTACTAATACTCATACTCTTGTGGAATTGTTTGGTCTATGCTGGCACATGGTGCTTGCTATGAAACACACTCTGTGAGCTGGGAGGCTAGTAGCTAAAGGAAACATCATAAGAAACAGAAATAGGACTTGAGTCCAGCGTCTCTCCTGCTCTGCAAAATTCTGCTGCAGTGGTCCCTATACCTATTGCTATAGCACCCCCAAATTTTCTTAAAGCTAAGAAAATAGGAATAGAGGATAGATTCTCAAACAGATATACCTAGAGCTAAGGTATAAGTCTTATTTTGATTCCTTCAGAGGTTTGGATGTCTTCATCATCGCAGGCTTCTGTAACAAAATGCCATCTACTGGGTGGCTCAAATATTCATTTCCCACAGTCTGGAAGCTGGGATGTCCAAGAGTAAGGTCCCAGAAGGTTTGGTTCCTGGTGAGAGCCCTTTTCCTGGCTTCTAGATAGCAATTTCTCACTGAATCCTCTCAAGGCAGAGAGAAGAAGCTCTGGTATCTCTTCCTCTCCTTGTAAGTGCACTAATCCCATCATGGGGGCTCCACCCCAATGACCTTATCTAAAACTATTTACTTCCCAAAGGCCTTACCTCCGAATACCATCACCTTGGGTATCAGAGCTTCAATGAATGAATTTGAGTCGGATGGACACAAACATTTAGCCAAAACAGGTGGCAACATAAAGAGACATTCCTCAAGAGTCTACAGTGTCCTTCAGAGTGACCAGATTGCAAGGACTTGAGAATGGCCATGGGAAGGTGGGAGCAGGACTTGTCCTGCAGTTCTCTAACCATTTTCCTCCTGGAGGGACCGGGCTATGGGAGGAAAAAGAGAATATCAAGGGATTACAGAAAAGCAAGTGAAGTAAGAAAACTCATATCTCTACTCAAGCTCCCATTTCCCAAAGGCAGAAAAAATACTAACCTGGCTGTTCTTGTCTTCCTTTTTTTTTTTTTTTTGAGACGGAGTTTCGCTCTTGTTACCCAGGCTGGAGTGCAATGGCGCGATCTCGGCTCACCGCAACCTCCGCCTCCTGGGTTCAGGCAATTCTCCTGCCTCAGCCTCCTGAGTAGCTGGGATTACAGGCACGTGCGACCATGCCCAGCGAATTTTTTGTATTTTTAGTAGAGACGGGGTTTCACCTCGTTGGCCAGGATGGTCTCGATCTCTTGACCACGTGATCCACCCGCCTCGGCCTCCCAAAGTGCTGGGATTACAGGCATGAGCCACCATGCCCGGCCCTATTTTCTTCTTCTTACAAGAAGCATGGCTTTATTACTTTTATAACAAAGTAATTACTCCCTTTATCACTTTATATTAAAAACCTCAGACAAACCGGGCTATTTTCACCAGCTGTAACTCAAACTTAACCATAGGCTGCTGAAGACACAGGGCAGGTTGCTAACATATAATCACAACTTGTCCCTGGAGAGTTTAGGCCTGGCCCAGTCTACTGATTTAAATGTTAACCTCAGGCTGGGTACAGTGGCTCAAGCCTGTAATCCCAGCAGTTTGGGAGGTCAAAGTGGACGGATCACAAAGTCAGGAGTTCAAGACCAGTCTGGCCAACATGGTGAAACCCCATCTCTACTAAAAATACAAAACTTAGCAGGGCATGGTGGCAGGCACCCACAGTCCCAGCTACTTGGGAAGCTGAGGCAGAAGAATTGCTAGAACCCAGGAAACAGAGGTTGCAGTGAGCCGAGATTACACCATTGCACTCCAGCCTAGGAAACAAGAGCATAACTCCATTTCAATCAATCAATCAATCAGTAGACTGAGGGCAAAGTACCCTCAATAATGTGGCTGGGCCTCATCCATTCAATTGAAGATCATAAGAGAAAAATGGAAGAGGATATTTGGCCTCCAAACTGCCTTCAGACTCAAGCTACAACATCAGCTTTTCCCAAGTCTTCAGCCTGCTGGTCTACTCTGCAGATTCTGGATTTGTCAGCCTCCTCAATCACGTGAGCCAGCTCCTTAAAATCAATCAATCTGGCCAGGCATGGTGGCTCACGCCTGTAATCACAACACTCTGGGAGGCCTGGGTGGGCATATCACAAGATCAGGAGATCGATACCATACTGGCTAACATGATGAAACCCCATCTATACTAAAAATACAAAAAAAATAATAATTAGCCCGTGCATGGTGGCACATCCTTGTAGTCTCAGCTAGTCAGGAGGCAGAGGTTGCAATGAGCCAAGATCCTGCCACTGACTGCACTCCAGCCTGGGTGACAGAGCGAGACTCCGTCTCAAAAGAAAAAACTTAAATATTTTTCTCTTTGTCTCTTTGTCTCTGTACGTTTCTCCAGAGAAATCTAATACACCAACATATTTGTATCATAATTTTGAAGAGATCAATAATTCTATTAATGCACTACATTATTGTTATATATTGTATTATATATTACAGTAATGAGGAATGTTGCATCAATATATTTTAATATATCATTTATATAATTACAAACATCGTTTTAAATTTTGTTAACAGATGAGTCACATTATTTAATGTGATTAAGTGATTTTTTTTGTACAGCATTTACCCTGGCGACAATCTTATTTTTCCATTTGGCTAGTTGTCCATATATTTATTACATGATCCAATTTCTCCCCAGTTCTGCGAATCTCCCCTCAACACACAGAAACACACATCGTTTTGGTTGGTTCTCTTGCTTGTATGCTTGTTCAGGAACTTTTTCCTGCGCTTTCCTACCTACTCCACTCGAAGGCCCGCTCTTCAGGCTCATCCCACAGCTGTCATATTATTTCTGTTTGCTGTATCATCTTGGGCTTTCCATTATGTCTCTCTTTTGTTAGATCCCGTGTCATGGGTCTCAGGGGGTTCGTTCTTCACTCACTTCTCCCTTTTGATGATGCATATCCTCCAAAACCTTCTATAAAGTTGTTGTCTTAGAAATAAATTTTTTGAGATGCGACATGTTGAAAATGTCTATTATACCCATACACTTAATTGATATTTTACTATATAGATATATAAAGAGTTAGGTTGAAATAATTTCTCTCTCAATTTTCAAAGACACTGCTCCTTTTTTTCAGACAGTCTCACCTCATTCTGTTGCCCAGGCTGGAGTGCAGAGGTGTGATCTCCGCTCACTGCAACCTCCACCTCCCGGGTTCAAGCGATTCCCCTGCCTCAGGCTCCTGAGTAGCTGGGATTACAGGCACGCGCCACCACGCCCAGCTAATTCTTTTATTTTTAGTAGAGACAGGGTTTTGTCATGTTGGCCAAGCTGGTTTCAAACTCCTAACATCAAGTGATCCGCACCCCTCAGCCTCGCCAAGTGCTGGGATTATAGGCATGAGCCACCGCGCCTGGCCCTTGTTGTTTTGTATTTTCCATAGTCGCTTCTGAGAAAGAAAAAAGTAACCTTTGTCCTCCACTCTCAGCTTAGAGCTGGTCTGACAAACACCTAGGCCATGATGTTCTCCAGTTGAAACTAAAAAATTTCACATCAATAACAAAGTCACTCTCTAACCGAGATAAAAGAAAGACTATTTCACAATCATATTTGAGCACAAACAGAACACTGTTCAAACCATAATGTGATTAAGCATCCCCTTTCCCAACTACTAATAGTGACTATTGATTCTTTTTCTATCTCTAAAAAAAAATTAATATGCAGGGCATAGTGGTATGTGCCTATAGCCACAGCTATTCAGGAGGCTGGGGTGGGAGGATCATTTAAGCCCAGGAGTTGGAGGCAGCAGTGAACGTGATTGTGCCACTGCACTCCAGCCTGGGTGACAAAGCGTCCAGGAGGAAGAGCCCTGACCTAGCCACAAGAATCCCTTCTCTATTGGGCATCTCTGCTCTGCTCTGGCTAGAGACTTCAGGGGCCGGAATAGTCACCTTTCCTAGTGCATCTCCAACACGCTGGACCAGCTCTAAGTCCTGGTTTCTCTGCTTTTATTTATTTATTTTTTTGAGATGGAGTCTCTGTCACCCAGGCTGCAGTGCAGGGGCATCATCTCAGCTCACTGCAACCTCTGCTTCCTGGGTTCAAGTGAACCTCCTGCCTCAGCCTCCTGAGTAGGGATCACAGGCATGGCCCACCATGCTTGGCTTAGTTTTGCATTGACTGTTGATTCTTTACCAATTGTGTGTTTAGTGCTGCAACCATTCCTCCACTTTCTAGATTAAAATATCAAGATTCCCAAAGGCAGAACTGTCCCACACTTTCCCCATAGAATTTGCCGTCTCCTTTGTTTCAATGACCCAGGTTTGACTATAGGTTTGTTCCTGATGGTTATAGACTGGGGGGCATCAACACTGCAGAGAAGAGGATGCCATTCTGAGTCTTTGTTACTTGCCTTAAACTGTTCTCCCTTTTCCCTTCCAAAAGTTTATAGAATCTTCTACCTGTTCCTGCTGTTTTGAAACTTCATGATCTATTTTCATCTACCATGCTGGGTACTCAGAGTGCTCTTTCAATATAGTAATTTCTATTTTGGAGGTATCATTCCAAAGATGTTTGTGCATCTACAATTAAAGGTATATGTTTATTTCCCGCAACTACCATCACCCTTTTGATACACTTTCGCTGCATAAATCATCCCAAGCTTTCTGACTTAGAATAACAGTAATCTGTTATTTTCAGTGATTCCGTGAGTTGGCTTGGAAGGTCCAAGGCGATTCATTTGGGGTTGGATGGTCTAGGATGGCCTCACTCACACATCTGGGTACAGCTGGATTGGCTGGAATGATGGGGTGCATGAACCCTTTACTTCATGTGATCTCTCCAGCAGGCTGGCTGGAGATTATGGTCTCAGGGTTTCAAACGAAGGAAGAAGCAGATAATACCCGCCCATGCGCAAGCCTCTCTTCTGTCAGGTTCTCGAAGGCACCATTTTCCCAAAGCAAGTCACACAGCCAATCCCAGATTCAAACAGAGGAGAAATAGGCTCCATTTCTTGATGAAAGAAGCTGCAAAATATAACAACTAGTTTTTTCAATCTAGCACAGTGTACCACCACTGGTTTCCTCGTTTTTCTTTATGGCTAGCTGAACTGTATTTAATTGTGTGGTTTTGCTGTCACTACCTCCAAACTGATGGACGTTTAGAGAGTTTCCACTGTTTTTCTATTAATAGGAAAATGCTTCATGAATAATCTTACACATACTCAATTTCATGCGTGAGGTATAGCTATAGGAAAAGTTTCAAATTTGTGGGTTGCTGAGGTTAAAAAAAAAGTGTACTTATACCAAAAGTGTCAAAAAAAGAAAAAATCTGCTTGAGGGAAACATGACAAAAATGTAAAAGAAAACTTTTTTTAAGTCTTTTTTTTTTTTTTAACGAGGTGTGGTGGCTCACACCAGTAATCCCAGCACTTTGGGAGGCCGAAGTGAGTGGATCACCTGAGGTCAGGAGATTGAGACCAGCCTGGCCAATATGGTGAAACCCCATCTCTACTAAAAATACAAAAAGAATAGCCGGGGATGGTGGTGTGCACGTGTAGTCCCAACTACATGGGAGACTGAGGGGGTGAATGACTTGAACCGGGGAGGCAAAGGTTACAGGGAGCCAAGATCGTGCCACTGCACTCCAGCCTGGAACATAGTTGAGACTCAGTCTTCCAAAAAAAAAAAGTCTTTTAATTTTTACAGATATTGTCATAAGACACCCTATAGAACTTGTACCAACCTATCCTCTCACGATGTATAATAACCTCTCCAACATAAAAACTTTAGGAAACTTTACTATTAGGTTGGGCACAGTGGCTCAGGCCTGGAATCCCAACACTTTGGGAGGCTGAGGTGGGCAGATCGCTTGAGTCCAGGAGTATGAGACCAGCCTAGGCAATATAGTGAGAACTCATCTATACAAAAAGTTTTTAAAAATCTAGCCATGCATGATGGCAAGCATCTGTAGTCTCAGCTACTTGGGAGGCTGAGATGGGAGGATTGGCTGAGCCAGAGGGAGGTGGAGGTTGCAGTGAGCCAAGATCATGCCACTGCACTCCAGCTTGAGTGACAGAGCGAGATGCTGTCTCTAAAATAGTAATAATAAGGTTGGGCGTGGTGGCTCATGCCTGTAATCCAAGCACTTCGGAGGCCAAGGCGGGCGGATCACCTGAGGTCAGGAGTTCAAGGCCAGCTAGACCAACATGGTGAAACCCCATCTTTAAAAAATAAATAAAAATAAAAAATAATAATTCCCTGGATAGTTTTGCTTCCTTTTGAACTTTATAATCATATTGTCTAGTTTGAATAAAAAAGAAAAATTATTTTGACAGTTTTATGAAAACCATGTTAAATTCAGACAGCAAGTAAAGGAGAGGTGCTGTCTTTATGATGTTGAGTCTCCTATCCAAGAACATGATATCCTCTGGTTAGTAGGGAAGGAGGCTGCCCGAATGCAGTGGTCCCAAACTTGAATATTCCAAATTACCTAGAGAGCTTGTGAAGTCACAGATTGTTGGGCCCACCCTCAGGATTTCTGATTCAAGAAGTCTAAGGTGGCACTCAATAGTCTGCATTTGTCCCATGTTTCCAGGTGATACTGAAGATGTTTGTTCTGGGACCACACTTTGAGAATAACTGGCCTAGTGTGTCTTGGTCATTTTGGAGATGGTTGATGGACTATATGTAAGTGAGACTAAAGCATATTTACACCCTTAAAAAATAAAAAGTACTGGTAAATGGTCCTTAAGGGAAAGGCAGTGGAAGATCTGTACAAAGAGTTAAAAAGGAATGTCCAGGCCGGGCGCGGTGGCTCACGCCTGTGAGCTGGGCGCCCAAGATGGACAGATTTCCTGAGGTAAGGAGTTCAAGACCAGCCTGGCCAACATGGTGAAACCCCATCTCTACTAAAAATACAAAAATTAGCTGGGTGTGGTGGCACACACCTGTAATCCCAGCTACTTCGGAGGCTGAGGCAGGAGAATTGCTTAAACCCGGGAGGCAGAGGTTGTAGTGAGCCAAGATTGCACCATTGCACTCTAGGTGACAGTGAGACTCTGTCTCTTAAAAAAAAAAAAAAAAAAAAAAAAGGCCGGGCGCGGTGGCTCAAGCCTGTAATCCCAGCACTTTGGGAGGCTGAGGTGGGTGGATCACGAGGTCAAGAGATCGAGACCATTCTGGTCAACATGGTGAAACCCCATCTCTACTAAAGATACAAAAAATTAGCTGGGCGTGGTGGCACGTGCCTGTAATCCCAGCTACTCGGGAGGCTGAGGCAGGAGAATTGCCTGAACCCAGGAGGCGGAGGTTGCGGTGAGCCGAGATCGCGCCATTGCACTCCAGCGAAACTCTGTCTCAAAAAAAAAAAAAAAAAAAAAAAAAAAAAAAATAGGAATGTCCACATTCCAGTGGGGAAATCTCTAGAATGGTGCCAATCTTGGCTTCCACCCACCTGGCAAACCAACTTAACCCAAGCTAGCCAAACCAACAGTTAAAGGTAATTTATTTTTATTGTTTTTTCAGTTAATGGTAATTTAGCAGGAACGAATGTAAGGCAAACAACTCCAGGCTTTCGGGGACAGAACAATGTTCTCCAGTGGATCAATAGCTAATTCAAAGTAGTGGGCGTAGCACTCTGCAGTGCCAGCCGGTATCAAGCAAGACTGCAGCTGTAAACTCCCTACCTCCCCACTCTCGGCCCTACCCGTTCGTCTTTGCTCCTCCTTTTCTTTGCTCTTCAACTTCCTCCAACTCCTCAACTTCTTTTCCATAGTCCTGTCTTTTTCCTGACCTTTGCGGCTGACGAAGGCTTCAAAACCTGAAAAGCAAACAGGTGCTCCTTAGCGCCTGGCCTAGAACATGTTAGCTCGCTAAGAAGGCCCTTCAAAACCTCATTTAACCGGAACAAGACAACAAGTATTTCCATCTGGATCCGTCCTATCCGTTCTCCCTGAAGCAGTGTCGGAGCGGTTTCCGACTCTCAGAGATGCTCGGCTTGTCTGCCTTCGCCCAGTTGAGAAACCCGTCGTGGATTAGAAAAACCTGGTCACTACAGACACTGGGATCCCCAGATTCCTCTTTTCTTGATGAATTTGGGGTGAATGGAGACGATTTCTGGAATCAGTTACCAATGTTTAAAAGGACAGTAGCCGCCGTGGCGATTTAGAAGTTCTAGTTCCTATGAGAAGTTCAAATAAAAATGCCACGCCCAACGTGGGGCTCGAACCCACGACCCTGAGATTAAGAGTCTCATGCTCTACCGACTGAGCTAGCCGGGCACCGGCTATGGACTGCTTCCTATATGAAACTATTTTCCTCTAATAGACAGGGGGTATGATCTACTTGCATATTATTTTGTATGGAAGAAGTTGCAGGATCTAGGATTGGTGGACACAGCAATAATCTTTTCATAATAGCTTTTCGCCACGGAGGAACCCAAGGTTTAGAGAGCGATGGGCTGCAGAGAGCCAGGAAGGCTCGCAGAGGAGTCGGGAATCATGAGTCCTTCCTGAAACCTCAGTGTTTCCGCAGATTCCTTCTATGGAGGGAACCCGCTCACCGACTGCAGAGGAGACTTAGATAAGATGCGCAAAGACCTCTCTGCAAAGCTTTTTAGTTCTCCCTCCTGGAAGAGGCACTGAGTTCCAGAGTTACCAGGGAAGGGTTCTTTCCTCTGCTCAAGTGAAGGCCGTGGTCCCAGCTCCGTGGACCTCGATACCGCTCTGAAGCGTCCCGCCTGGGCTGCTTGGCGTCTTGGTGGACGGGCCGCAGTGAGAGCCAATTGGAACTACTGTTGTTTGGGACAGGGTCCCAGTGTGTTGCCCAGGCTGGAGGGCAGTAGCACGATCATAGTTCACTGCAGACTCCACTTCCCGGGCTCAAGCGATGCTCCCACCTCAGCCTTTCTGAGTAGTTGGGACCAAAAGGGCCCGCCACCATCTTAAATTTTTTTTTTTCTAAGGGTGTGGGGAGGTTTCTCAGGCTGGTCGCAAACTCCTGGGCTCCAGGGATTCTCCCGCCTCCATTTACCAAAGCTGCTGGGATTACAGGAGCGAGCCACCACGTAGGCCTGGAGCTACTCTTATTACCGAATTGGCTGACTGCACTCCCGCGGGAATGCTGTAAGCAAAGGCAGAATTGCAAGCTTGTTAAAAGTGTTAATTAAAAAATAAAGTAAAATAAAGCAAAAGAAAGCCACCTAAGCAAATTATAACCACATGCCGTGACTCGGATTCGAACCGAGGTTGCTGCGGCCACAACGCAGAGTACTAACCACTATACGATCACGGCGAGCCACCGGCAAGGCGGCGCACTGCACCTGCATTTAATGCCTCTTGAAATAGGAATGGCTGCTTCGTGCTGCTTTTATCTGACCAGTCCGTGAGGTCCGCATCAATTAGAATTCCAAACTTGTGCACTCTGCAGCCTCGAAGCTCCGACACCCGAATCGGGTTCTTAGACTCAATCCCTCAATGCCAGTTGTAGCAGCACCCACTCCGCCGAGCGGCGGACGCCCAGGTCCTGACTAAACGGCAGAAAGCGTCAGCTGCAACCTGGGACCAGGGACCACGTAGCCTCGCGCCTCGCCACTCGCCTCTTGCTCCTCCAAAGAAACAAGCCGCTTCGCCGAGGGTTGCGAGCCGCAGGCTTGAAGCATTTTCCAAATTACATCTGCAGCCTGTGCCATGGAATTGAGGTTTCTTTTCCCAGAATAGTGGAACCGGAAGAAAAACGGAGCTAGTGAGCTGGGGAGGGGATGAGAGCCCGGTCCTAATTTCTTGCTTTCCTCACAAGAACAAGACGCGCTGTGTACTCTCTATGGCATTGCAGGCGCCTGTGCCGACTTCCTCATCTTGACTCATCAGTATATCAGAACCACCTCCTCAGATTCAGAAAAACAAACCCAACCTGCCTCTATTTCAGACACTTAACAGTTACAGTTAACTCATGAAACGCCAGCGACCGCACCCATCAGAAGGCCTTGGCTCGCACGTGCAGTTACCAAAATACGAATGTTTGCTGTGGGAGGGAGAGACCATACTGGTGCAGAAGACTCAAGACACAAAAGTGTCCTGAAATATATTTCAGCCTTTGTTCTCCGCTTTGCTCAGTTTCCAGGCCTACTCAGTCAAAAAATGGGAGAGGTGGGGGAGGAAAAAAAGAAGGCAACGCTGCGTTGGCCGGGAATCGAACCCGGGTCAACTGCTTGGAAGGCAGCTATGCTCACCACTATACCACCAACGCACCCGAGAAGCGCCCTGCTTCATTGGCTTATGAGAACTACATAGTCTCCTGCTGAGCAGTCTAGACAAGGAAAAAAAAAAAAAAGAACTACATATTCAGCTTTTGGCTTTCCGTTTATTTCTACACTAAGAGAAATTCAGATTACAGGAAAAACGTACAGGAGGAAAAAAATAAAAGGAACTCTCTAGAATTTCTCCTATTGACAATTCTGTAGTAGTATCTTGTTTCACAGGTTTAAGAAAAGTCAGTTCTAGTTTCTTCTACCGTCACTTGAAGGGAGCCTCTGAAATCCAATGGTCGAATTAAAGCACATACCTTTTGAACCAGCATTCCAATTCCTGGGCATTTATTCCACACATGCTCAAAATTACATATGTACAAGACCATTCATGACAGCATTTTTTTTTTTTTTTCTAGAAGCAAAGGGCTAGAAATCACCTAAATATCTGTAAGAAAGAAGCTGGCTAAACTAATTATGTAAAACTCATACAAAGAATGCCAGGTGCCAGAAGCAAGAATGAGGAAGTTCTTCATCTTTAATCTGTAAGTATTTCTAAAATAAACTGTTAAATGGAAAAGGCAAAGCGTAGAAAGTGTGTATAGATTACTTCCATTTGTACAAGGGGGAGAGAATGTTTATATACACGTATTTATATATGCTTGTACTTACATTTGCATGAAACATCTCTGACATTATAATTAAGAAACAACAGTGGTTACCTCATTAGAGGGAAAATAGATGGTAAAGGTGAAAGTCAGCTTTATCAGTTCCGCCCTTTTGCATATTTGAATCCTAAATCATGTAAAAATATTATCTTTTGGAAAATTCAATAACTAAATTGAAAGAAAATATGTTACTAAAGGATAATTTCCACTGCAAACTCTTAGAAATATATTATTAACCTTAAAAATAGCTGGTGTTGGCCAAGCGTGGTGGCACATGCCTGTAACCCCAGCACTTTAGAAGGCAGAGGCGGGTGGATCACCTGAGGTCAGGAGTCTGAGACTGGCCTGACTACCACAGTAAAAACCCGTCTCTACTAAAAATACAAAATTAGAAGGGCGTGGTAGCACGTGCCTCCAATCCCAGCCACTTGGGAGGCTGAGGCAGGAGAATTGCTTGAAACGGGGAGGCAGAGGCTGCAGGCAGCCAAGGTTGTGCCATTACACTCCAGCCTGGGCAACAAGAGCGAAACTCGGTCCCAACAACAAAAACAAAAATAGCTGGTGATGAAATAGCATGTATAGCATGCTTCCACTTTGTTTCAAAACCTAGGCATTAACAGTGGCCTTTGGGTGACAGAATTGTGAGCAATTTCTTTATCTGTGTTTTTCTACATTTTTCTGTATTTCAGTGGGATGAGGAGACTGACTAACAGATAACGTTTGTTTAAAAGATCCTAAAAGAAAGCAGAACAAAAATAGCATTCATTCCCTGACCGGGAATCGAACCCGGGCCGCGGCGGTGAGAGCGCCGAATCCTAACCACTAGACCACCAGGGAAGCTACTGTTAAGCTCCCGTTAAGACTATATGATTCTACCAGGTGCCGTGGTTCATACCTGTAATCCCTAGATCTTGAGAGTCCAAAGTGGCCAGATTGTTTGAGCCCAGGAATTCGAGACCAGCCTGGGTAATGTGGCAAAACCCTGTCTCTACCAAAAGTACAAAAACATTAGCCAGGTGTGGTGGCTTGTGCCTGTAGTCCCACCTACTCAGGAGGCCCCATCACTTAAGCCGGGTAGGCAAAACAGTGAGCTGTTTTGGCGCCACTGCACTCCAGCTTGATAATAGGGCCAGACCCTGCCTCAAAGAAAAAAATATATATATGATTCTAACTAAATGTTTATTTCCACTTATTCTTTTTCATATTATTTTTCACTGCCTAGATCCTGAGGTTCTTGAATACTCGGCCTTTCCTATGTTGGGACTTCCTGGTACTTCTTTCACATTGTGAAAGAATTCTCCAGCCTGACTCTCAGAGCCGAGGGAACGTCGCGTACACGATTACAGTCCCCAAGACCAGAGGCTAATGTCCGGAGGGAAGAGGAAGAGACAGACAAGAAACTCACCTTGTAATTGCAGTGATTTCCTGAACTGTGATCAGTAGAAAAGTAGAGACTCAGCTGCATCTTTGCCAAAAACGGCCGGAACATTTCCTTAAGGAATATAAAAGACGTCATGTGAGTCACATCAGGAGACCCTGGGCCACTCTACCTTTTTTTTCATGTCGTGTGAATGTAGACCAAACTGTTAAAACAAATATGATAGACAGGTGAATCACTCAGCCTACAGGTACCTGGTGCTCAGTAGGATCTGAACTTAACTCACTAGCAGAAGACTTAGAGAAGCTCATCCAATTTTTCAGCACGTTGGGAGTCTGAGGCACGTGGATCACCTGAGTAGTTCAAGACCAGCCTGGCCAACATAGTGAAACCCTGTGTCTACTAAAAGTACAAATTAGCCAGCTGTGGTGGCACTGGCCTGTAATCTCAGCTACTTGGAGGCTGAGGCAGGAGAATCGCTTGACCTCAGAAGGCTGAGGTTGCAGTGAGCCGAGATCGAGCCATTTCACTCCAGCCTGGGCAACAATACCAAAACTCCATCTCAAAAAATAAATAAATAAAAATTATGGGGGGGAAAAAGAGGTAGTGAAGAGAGAGAAAATTGAGGTGCATGCATTCATGTATTGCAAATTACTTTATGATCGAGAAAAGAAAGCAAATGCGGGCTGGGTACGCTGGCTCAAGTTTGTAATCCCAGCACTTTGGGAGGCTGAGGCAGGTGGATTGTTTTGAGCTCAGGAGTTTGAAACCAGTCTAGGCAACAGGGTGAAACCCTGTCTGTACCAAAAATACAAAAAGAAAGAAAAATGTTAGTGAATTGTATTCACTATATTGTACTGTCAGCTTTTTTGTAACCTTGAAGTTTAAAAAAATAAAAGGTTGAGAAAAAAATGAAACAATCAAAAGCCTCCCCTCAGGTCTTTTTTGGTCAAATGACCCCAAGTGATTAATTCTGTGCCCATGAGTTCAAGCAGAAATTTTTTCTTCTCTTTTCTTTTCTTTTTTTGAGACAGAGTCTCGCTCTGGTGCCCAGGCTACAGTGCAGTGGCGCAATCTCAGCTCACCACAACCTCTGCCTCTTGGGTTCAAGTGATTCTCCTGCCTCAGCCTCCTGAGCAGCTGGGATTACAGGCACGTGCCACCACACCTGGCTAATTTTTGTAATTTTAGTAGCTACAGGGTTTCACCATGATGGCCAAGCTGGTCTCAAATTCCTGACCTCATGATTCACTTGCCTTGGCCTCCCAAAGTGCTGGGATTACAGGTGTGAGTCACGGTACCCAGCCTCAAGCAGAAAATTTTAAAAGCAACCCCACCTGCGTATAGCCATCACTGGAGGTAATTTAAAAAAAAAAGAAAGAAAGAAAGAGGGGGAAAAAAAAAAGCAAGCCCACCTCCGCCAAACACCTCTTATACATCAAAAAACACTTTTGATAATGAATTTAAAAATTGAAAGACTGAAACATCAATGATGTGTGTATATCAGCAGGGCCTGACAGAAAAAAATATGGATGGTAAGATATGAAGTTTGGGGAGATTCTTGTTGTTGTTTTGAGACATGGTCCCACTTTGTTGCCCAGACTGTAGCACAGTGGTGAGCTCCTACCTCAGCCTCATGAGTAGCTGGGACTACAGGTTCTGGCTACCACGCCCAGCTAATTTTGTGTGTGTGGTGGTGGAGACACTAGGCCTCACTATATTGCCCAGGCTGGTCCCAAACTCCTGGGCTCAAGCAATCCTCCCACCTCAGCCTCCCAAAGTGCTGGGATTACAGGCATAAACCACCGAGCCTTGTCTTGTTTTGCTTTTTAAGTATCAATGTTAAAACGTTGTTTAGGAAACGTTATTCAAGATTTAAACGTTGTTTAAGTCTTCCACTTATTCAGTTTCCACCTTTCAATGGGTTTAAATCCAATAAATTAGTAAGATGAGTAACTAAATGCTGGACGTTTATTTCACAAAGACAAGAGTCCTGTTGTCATGACACCAAGGAAACTAACAGACCCCTCTCTTCCTTTTACTCTGGCTGTTTTCACTAGACAGGTACCTGTGGCCCAAAGCTGAAAAGCAAAAAGCATCTAACCTTCAGAACAACATCTGGGCATCTTACCCAGGGTGACTACAAGGTAGCAGAATTTATTTTTCTACGTCGCAGAGGAAATCAGCCTCCTGTTTTGGACAACAGTACTTTTCATCAATTATTCTGCCACCTGCTGGTAAATTTTTGTAAGAGAGAACACAGGAAGAACAATACGAGCTTTGGGAGGGAGCTAGCCACCTTTCTCAACATCAAAGCATCCCGAGGAATCTCGTCAAAGCACCAAGACAGGATTAAGCATCCTCCTCTTTCCAGCACTACATTCCTAAAGGTGGATGAGGAAGCAGAGTGATTCATACCCTTCATTCAGTTCTATTTTTCCTTTTTTTTTTTTTTTGAGACAGAGTCTCGCTCTGTCGCCCAGGCTGGAGTGCAGTGGGCTCACTTGGTTCACTGCAACTTCCGCTTCCCAAATTCAAGCGATTCTCCTGCCTCAGGCCCCCGAGTAGCTGGGACTTCAGGGGCACACCACCAGCCCGGGCTAATTTTGTTGTTGGTGGTGGTTTTTTTTTTTTCCCCTGGAGACAGAGCCTTGCTCTCTCACAAAGGCTGGAGTGCAGTGGCATGATCTTGGCTCACTGCAACCTCCACCTCCAGAGTTCAAGCAATTCTCCTGCCTCAGCCTCCTGAGTAGCCAGGATTACAGGCATGTGCCACCACACCTGGCTAATGTTGTATTTTCAGTATAGACGGGGTTTCTCCATGTTGGTCAGGATGGTCTCAAACTCCCAACCTCAGGTGATCCACCAGCCTTGGCCTCCCAAAGTGCTGGGATTACAGGCATGAGCCACCGCGCCCAGCCCTAATTTTTGTATTTTTAGTAGAGACAGGGTTTTATTATGTTGGTCAGGCTGGTCTTGAACTCCTGACCTCAGGTGATCTGCCTATCTCAGCCTCCCAAATTGCTGGGATTACAGGCGTGAGCCACTGTGTCCGGCCTATTTTCCTTTTTAAAAACATTTACAGATCATGTGCCAGAGTAGGTACTGAAAATATAAAAATACATGTAGGCCGGGCACGGTGGCTCACGCCTATAATCCCAGCTACTTGGGAGGCTGAAGCATGATCATCGCTTGAACCGGGAGGTGGAGGATAGGGTGAGCCGAGATCCAGCCACTGCACTCCAGCCTGGCAGCAGAGCAAGACTCTGCCTCCAAACAACAACGAAACACTTCAAGAGAGGAAAATGTAGTGGAAAACCAAGTAAGCAAGTGAATAAGAGAATGGATCAGGGAGGCGTGAGTAGATGTGATCTTCCCCATTCCTCTTCCTTGGACGTCACATATAAAACAACTCTAAGAAGACCGAAATGTGGAGAGGAGGTGGACCAGCTAGGAGCCCCAGAAACAAAGGCAGGGCACGATGCTGATTTCTGTGGACACTTTTTGCCAATTACCCCATACTTGGAGCTGAAGAAGCAGCAACCGGAAATGCCAATAGGAGCAGCCAAGAAAATCCCTAACAAAAGCCTGTTCTCCGCAGCCAGAGGATCAGGACTGAGGCAGTCTAGCAAACCAGAAAAAGTTTCGACAATATTTGCTCTATTCCAGCCAAATGCCACAAAAACAAACTGTGACTTGTCCTCTCCTGTTCCGGCAAAGACTTAATGGGGTGCCTAGACGTTCACCACCAGCAAGTCTATTAGGAGTCATCTCTCCCCTTTACTGTTGGGGTGGTATCAGAAGAAACTAGAGAGTCAGAACTTTCACCCAAACTCAGTGAGTGGTAATGAGGCTACCCCTGAGGAAAGAATCAGTGAACTAAAAGACGGAACAGTAGAAAGTACTCAGTCTGGACCAAGAGCAGTGGCTCACACCTGTAACCCCAGCACTTTGGGAGGCTGAAGCAAGCAGATGACTTGAGGCCAGGAGTTCAAGTTTCACCATGTTGGCCAGCCTAGCCAACATGGTGAAACTCCATCTCTACTAAAAATGCAGGCAGGGAACGGTGGCTCACACCTGTAATCCCAGCACTTTGGGAGGCCAAGGCGGGCAGATCACAAGGTCAGGAGTTTGAGACCAACCTGACCAACATGACCTAATTCAGGCCTGTCTCTACTAAAAATACAAAATTAGCTGGGCGTGGTGGCGAATGCCCATAATCCCAGCTACTCTGGAGCCTGAAGCAGGAGAATCGCTTGAACCCAGGAGGCGGAGGTTGCAGTGAGCCAAGATCATGCCATTGCACTCTAGCCTTGGAACAAGAGCAAAACTCCATCTTAAATAATAATAATAATGAACTGGGCATGGTGGCACACACCTGTAATCCCAGCTACTTGGGAGGCTGAGGCCCAAGAATCACTTGAACCTGGGAGGCAGAGGCTGTAATGAGTGGAGATCGTGCCAGGACACTCCAGCCTGTGCAACAGAGTGAGACCCTGTTTTAAAAAAAAAAAAAAAAAACATCAATCTGAAAAACAGAATAGACTGGGGGAAAAATGAGCTCAGAGCCTCAGGGACTTGTGAGATTACAACAAAAGATCGAACATTTGCGTCAGCAAATTCCTGGAAGAAGAGGAAGAGAACAAGACAAGAAAGTACCAAAGGAAATAGCAGCTGAAAACTCCCCACATTTGGCACAGGGATAAACCGACAGATTCAAGAGGCTGAACGAACTCCTAACAGGATAAACTCAAACTAATTCAGGCCATGGCACCCTGCAGTGGTTTGGATGTTTGTCCCCTCTGAACCTTAGGTTAAAATTTGATCCCCAGTATTGCAGGTGGGGCCAAATGGGAGGTGTCTGGGTCATCAGGGTGGGTCCCTCATGAATAGATTAAAGCCCTCCCTCAGGGGCAAATGAGTTTTCACTCTTAGTTCCCGCAAGGGCTGGTTAAAAAGAACATGGCACCTAACCTCTTTCTTTCTTCTTCTCTTGCCATTGATCTCTGCACAAACCAGCTTCTCTTCACCTTCCACTATGACTGGGAGCAATCTGAGGCCCTCTCCAAATACAGATGCCCAATCTTGAACTTCCAGACATCAGAAACATAACCCAAATAAACTGAAATTTATAAATTACCGAGTCTCAGGTATTCCTTTACAGCAACACTAAATGAACTAAGACACACGTCAAAGTCAAACTGCTAAAAGCTAAGGACAAGTAAAAAATATTGAATGCAGGCCGGATGCAGTGGCTCGCGCCTGTAATCCCAGCACTTTGGGAGGCCGAGGCGGGCGGATCACAAGGTCAAGAGATCGAGACCATCCTGGCCAACATGGTGAAACCCCCTCTCTATTAAACATACAAAAATATTATCTGGGCATGGTGGCATGCGCCTGTAGTCCCAGCTACTCGGGAGGCTGAGGCAGGAGAATTGCTTGAACCCGGGAGGCTGAGGTTGCAGTGAGCTGAGGTTGCGCCACTGCACTCCAGCCTGGCACCTGGTGATGGAGTGAGACTCTGTCTCAAAAATATATATATATATATTGAATGCAGTGAGGGGAAAGCAATTTGAATAAAAGCAGATTTCTCTCTCTTTTTGTTTTTAATTTTTTGTTTGGTTGGTTGGCTTTCCCCCATGTTCAACCAAGTTAGAAAGCCAGTTTCTCATCAGAAGCTACAGAGGCCAGAGGAAAGTGGCACAAAATTGTTCAAGTGCTGTGGACAAAAACTATCAAGTCAGATTCCTACATCCAGTGAAAATATCCTTTAAAAATGAATGGGGTATGATTCAACAAAAAAAGACAACCCCCCAAAAAATGAGCAAAGCACTTGAAAAGACATTTCCCCAATGTCTATTCAAGATATTCAAATGGACAATAAATATGTAAGAAAAAACCCTCAATGTCAGACGGGTGCGGTGGCTCATGCCTGTAATCCCAGCAGTTCGGGAGGCCAAAGCTGGTGGATCACCTGAGGTCAGGAGTTCAACACCAGCCTGGCCAACTTGGTGAAACTATACTAAAAATACAAAACTTAGCCAGGTGTGGTGGTGCCTGCCTGTAGTCCCCACTACTTCGGAGACTGAGGCAGAAGAATTGCTTGAACCCGGGAGGCAGAGGTTGCAATGGCTAAGATCATGCCACTGCACTTCAGCTTGGAGGACAGAATGAGACTCCATCTCAAAAAAAAAAAGATGCTCAATGTCATTAGTCATTAGGGAAGTCCAAATAAAGCCACAGTAAGCTGCCTACCATTTCACCACCGGATAGCTACAATTTTTAAAATGGAAAATAACAAATGTTAGGGTAAGGAGAAATTTGACTCCTCTTGTATTGCTGGTGGGAATGTAAAATGGCACACCTGCTGTGAAAAACAGTTTGGCAGTTCCTCAGTAAGCTAAACATAGAACTAAATATAGAATATGACTTAGTAATTTCCCTCTTAGGTATATACCCCAAAGAACTGAAAACAGGTTCTCAAAAAGTACTTGTACATGCATGTTGACAGCAGCACTGTTTATAATAGTCAAAAGGTGGAGACAATCCAAATTCCATTAATAGATGAATGGCTAAATAAACTGTGGCATGTAAACACAATGGCACATTATTCAGGCATAAGAAAGAATGAAGTATTGATACATACTACAACTTGTATAAGTCTCGAAACATTATGCTAAAGAAGCCAGACACAAACGGTCACATAGTATACAATTCCACTTATATGAAGTGTCCAGAACAGGTAATAATAAATCTAGAGAGACAGAAAGCAGACTGGTGATGGCCAGAGGCTGAGGACTGACTAGGTAATCGGTACAGGATTTCCTTTCAGGGTGATGAAAATGTTATGGCACTAGATAGAGGTGATGGTTTGACAATTGCACATTTATTTTCTTTTTTCTTCTTCTTTATTTTTATTTTTATTTTTTGAGACAGAGTCTCACTCTTGTCATCCAGGCTGGAGTGCAGTGGCACGATCTCAGCTCACTGCAAACTCTGTCTCGGGTTCAAGAAATTCTCCAGCCTCAGCCTCCTTAGTAGCTGAGATTACAGGCATGAGCCACCACGCCAGATACAGACAGATACAGACAAGAGAATTCCCTTTTTTTTTTTTTCGGTGCCATGACTTGGAATTAATTTTTTTTTTTTTGGCTTTGAAACGAGGTTTCACTCTGTCACCCAGGTTGGAATGCAGTGTCGAGATCTCAGCTCACTGCAATCTTCACCTCCCAGGCTCAAATGATCCTCCCACCTCAGCCTCCAGAGTAGCTGGGACCCACAGGCGCATGCCACCATGCCCAGCTAATTTTTTTGTATTTTTCGTACAGATGAAGTTTCACCATGTTGTCCAGGCTGGTCTTGAACTCCTGAGCTCAGGCGATCCACCCACCTTGGCCTCCAAAAGTGCTGGAATTACAGGTGTGAGCCACCACCTTGTTTGAAAAATCTATAACTTTAAGACAGTATTATTATTAAAGTTATGTCAAAGGCAAAGAAGCTGAAATAGCTAAAACAATTTTGAAAAAGTATTAAATGAGCCTGGATGCAGTGCTCAAGCCTGTAATCCCAGCACCTGGGAGGCTGAGACGGGCAGATCACTTGAGGTCAGGAGTTTAAGACCAGCCTGGCCAACATAGTGAAACCCTGTCTCTACTAAAAATACAAAAATTAAACAGATGTGGTGGTGCATGCTTGTAATTCCAGCTACTCGGGAGTCTAATGCAGGAGAATCGCTTGAGCTGGGAGGGTGGAGTTTGCAGTGAGCCAAGATCATGCCACTGTACTCCATCCTGGGTGACAGAGTGAGACTCTGTCTCAAAAAAATTAAAAAAGAAAATGAATTAAATGAATTAAAGACTGCATGGAGTTGGCAGAGGGATAAATATACAGATCAGTGAAAGAACATAGAAAACCCAGTAATAGTCCTACACAAATATACCCAACTGATTTTTTTTTTTTTTTTTTTTTTTTTTGAGGCAGGGGCTCACTCTGCTGACCAAGCCAGAGTGCAGTGATGCAATCATAGCTCACTGCAGCCTCAAACTCCTGGGATCCAGCAATCCTCCTGCCTTGGCATACCAGGCTAATTTTTAAATATTTTATAGAGACAGGGGTCTCACTATGTTGCCCAGCCTGGTCTCCCTGCCTCAAGTGATCCTCCCACTTTGGCCTCACAGAGCACTAGGATTATAGACATGAGCCACCATACCTGGCCTCCAACTGCTTTTTTTTTTTTTTTTTAAGCCTTGGGTTGTGGTGCACACCTGTGTTCCCAACTACTTGGGAGGCTGATGTGGGAGGATCCTTGAGCCCAGGAAGTGGAGGGTGCAGGGAGCCAAGACCACACCACTGTGCTCTAGCCTGGGCGACAGGGCAAGACTCTGTCTCAAAAAAAAAAAAAATCTTTGTTGATAAATTCCTTCAGGATTTGGTGTGTTTGAAATGTTTTACTTATTTTTAATTCTGGAATAATATTTTAGCTGAATACGGAAGGCTAGTTTGGCAATTATTATCTCTCAGCTTATCAGAGCCATATCACAACTGTGTTCTCAACAAAATAGAGACAACCCGCCACTCTGCCACCACAAAAACGACCAAAAATCCCCTCTTCTGATTAGTGTGAGAAACTCATGCTTTCTTTTCTTCTTCACCAATTTGGGTGGCAATCCTCTTGCTTCCTAGGTAAGATTGATTCACTCAGACACCCAATTACTGAAATGCCCCCACTTCTTAACAATATTCAATCCCAAGTTAGTCCTCACTCAGAGTTTTAGACACTAGGAGAAAACAAACAAAAAACACAATTAGCCCTCACTATTCTAAACTGTGGCTCAGAAATATCCAAGAGAAGCTGAAACTCTATAAGAGGTTCCTTTTAACCTCCCCTTAGGAAAATGGTCCCATAATTCCTTTGGGGCATTCTCTCCCTTTACACCAAGCCAAGTAGATTCGACTTTTTTCACTATAGATTTGTTTCCGGTGGTGTTTAGTTGATGAGCTTTGACAAGGATAATGGTCAGATTTCTCCAGTATCAACTGACTGTGTGAAGGGGTGTGTGTGTGTGTGTGTAATATAAACATATTTATATAAGAACATATTGCTGGGCATGGTGGCTCACACTTATAATCCCAGCACTTTGGGAGGCCAAGGTGGGCAGATCACTTGAGGCCAGGAGTTCGAGACCAGCCAGACCAATGTGGCAAAATCCTACCTCTACTAAAAATACAAAATTAGCTAAGCATGGTGGCGCATGCCTGTAATCCTAGCTACTCGGTGGCTGAGGCATGAGAATCACTAGAACCTGGGAGGTTGCAGTGAGCCGAGACCGCACCACTGCATTCCAGCCTGGGTGACAGAGGGAGACCCTGTCTCAAAAGAAAAAAAAAAACCCAGGTAATTTGTCCTGCATAGTATTTGCAAAGTCTGAATTTGCACCTTTGAGGTATCATTTAATGTCTCCCGTATTTCCTGCAAATTAGTAGTTAGCTTTAATCAGATTCAGACTGAAGTGTGTTTGCCTGTTTGTGGTAGCATACACAAGTCCAGCTTCACGCAAGGTGGACTATGATCAGGAAAACATGTTTGGCTCTCTTTTTTGATGAACGACAGCCACTATTTTTGTTTACATACAGATGGGGTTTTACTGTATTGTCCTGGCTGGCTGCAAACTCCTGGACTTAAACAATCCTCCCAGCTCAGCCTCCCAAAGTGCTGGGATTACAGGTGTGAGCCACTGTGCCCTGCCACAGCCATTGTTGATCATTGCCTAGATACATTAATTCATTTGGAGCTACAAAATGTTGATATTCTAATTATATTATCCCTTCTTCACTTATTTACTGGAATTCTTCTATAAAGAGAAATTTCCCCATCTTGAGATACAGTCCACATAAGAAAACCAGGATAAATACTTGATTCTTTCCGATTGCTAGCAGTTTTTAAACTAATGAGTTGAACTGCCAGCATTCTCCAACAATGACCAATGAGTTTGTATTTTTTAAGTGTCATTGTGAATTCATAGATTTAAACGTATTTTGTGAATTTCAATCCCTTGCAGATAATATCCATTTTGATACTCAAATTGTTTCATCTTTGGTCAATGGAAACTATTCTAGTTGGCTCCTGAGTTCTTCGGTTACAACCCTAAGTCTTTGAAAGCGTCCTTGCTTATCTTGGACAATACCTGCCCCAAACCGGAAATCGGCCATTTCTCCAAAGAGTTGTTGGCTGGCTCCTCTTAATAGGAAATGGTATTTACATAGCACGATGGAATACTAGAGGTGTTTATTTTCACTGGATCATTGTTTCCAAGCTTTCCAAGGGTAAAGCTAGGAAATTTTTAAGGATAAAATACACCACGAGTTCAGAGTTATATTTGCAATTTAAATTCAGAATTACAGAGTTTTATCTCAACTTCATCAATCGTAAATACGTATCTCTTTATTTCACACTAAAAATTCTGGTTCTCAGAGACACCAACATTATTAATCCTTTGTTTTATCTCATGATATACCTAAAATAATCTCAGAATAACATCACCAACACTATCACCATAATATGACTATTTTAAAATATTCTGCATTTTTTTGGCATTATAGTACATCCAACTTGTGCTGTCGTAATCAAATTCTTATGTTTTACAGTCACCTGAATGGTTTGGTTAAAAGCATTTTACATTTCTGTAATGAAACTGCTTGTGATATGGCCTCTAATGGTTGAGAGAAAAAAATGTTTTTGTCATATATATATACCTGAGAATAGTGCTATGTGGGCCTCTAGACTCTTTCTGTATTAAAATAGAGCCAACTGGTAAAGATGCCTTAGTGACTGTGACAGTTGATACTGAGTGTCAACTTGATGGGATTGGAGGATACACAGTATTGATTCTGAGTGTGTCCATGAGGGCGTTGCCAAGAGATTAACATTTGAGTCAGTGGGTAGGAAAGGCAGATACACCCTTAATCTGGGTGAGCACAATATAAGATGCTGCCAGCGCAGCTAGAATAAAAAGCAGGCAGAAAAATGAAAGGAGAGACTGGCCTGGCCTCCCAGCCTACATCTTGCTCCCGTGCTGGCCACTTCCTGCCCTCTAACATCAGACTCCATGTCTTTCTGTTTTGAGACTGAGACTGGCTCTCCTTGCTCCTCAAGCTTGCAGACAGCCTACTGGGGACCTCGAGATCATGTAAATTACTACTTAATAAACTCCCCTTTATATATGTCTATATCTATCTAGATATAGATATATCTATACATCTATAGCAATCTATCTAGATAGATAGATGATTGATTGATAGATAGATAGATAGATAGATGATAGAGATACAGAAATGGAGATAGAGATAGAGAGAGATCCTATTAGTTCTGTCCCTCGACTGAACCCTAATACAGTGACACTATTTGGAATTGGTCCTTTTTACATTCCATTTGGCAAGTACTAAAAGATTGATGATCTCAGATATGCCTATGGCTGCAAAAACATGACACGGCCAAATCCCTTGGTTGCAATATCTTTTTTTTTTTTTTTTTTTGCTTATTTTTTTTTTAAGGCAGGAGGCCTCACTCTGTTGCCCAGGCTGGAATGCAGTGGTGCTACCATAGCTCACTGCAGCCTCAAACTCTTGGGCTCAAGCGACTCTCCTGCCTCAGCCTCCCAAAGTGTTGGGATTTTGCAGTATTTTAAAGTCACAAGATTATGTTATTCCACAAAAGTATGTTTCAGAGACTAGGCATGGTGGTTTACACGTGTAATCCCATCACTCTGGGAGGCCAAGACGGAAGGATTGATTGAGGCCAGGAGTTCAAGACCAGGCTGGTCAACATAGTGAGACAGACAGACACCATAGAAAGAGAGGAAGGAAGGAAAGAAGGAAGGGAGGAAGGGAGGGATAGAGGGAGGGAGGGAGGGAAACAGAAAGAAAATCTTTTTGAATCTTTTTCTGTTTCTCCAACTCTTTCTCCCCTTCTAAAAATTCTCTTTCCATTTTTTCTTCACCTCTTTGCCTTTGTTAGCCTTCTCTCCTAGCAACTCAGGAGCTTTTATTTCTGTGTGTATTGATGAGGGAGAGGGAAGAGGAATTGCTGTACAAACGGAAGTAATGAAAATGGAGTAGGTAGGAGGATAGACAGCTGCAACGATCTGAGCTAGATAGACTGAACAAGCCCTCATCCTAAGCAACTCACAGCTCCGATTTCTTCTCTGGACAGCTGGTTCTTTTTGTCCTCCTGAAATACTCTGCAAAGAAAGGGGAGGGGCTGTGAACTACCTCTGCTATGGATCTTATTTAAAGTCAGCTACCTCCTAGATACTATCTGTAGAAACTAAATGTAATATTCATCATATCAGGGATGAAGATGGTAAATGAAAGGTATCCATTTGCCCACTGTAATTTTTAAAGGCCAGGAGCTCATCATTATTGAGAATGCTGGAGGGCTGCCTGGAGTAGGCAGTGAGTAGAGTCACACAAGCTGGAACCAGATATCCAACTTGTCTGTCATATTTTTCTCTTCCCTCCCCAGCTTGGCACCCAATACTCCATATTCCTTCTAATTCTCCTACCCTCCCCGCTCCCACACTCTACCCCCACAGACGTTCCTGGAATTTTGGACTTAGCTATTTTTAAAACCGGCAACTCAGTAGCCACCTCCCACCCTGCTCAGCTGTCCAGCACTCTGGCCAGCCATATAGTCCCCCTTCCCCCAACACCAAAACCTTCTCTGGCTCCCTGACCTCAGTGAGACAGCAGCCGGCCTGGGGGACCTGGGGGAGACATGGAGAAAGAGACAGAGGATCCCCTGGCTGGAGCTGACCCACAGAGTAGGCAATCACGGCTGGAGAACTGGATAGCAGAGTAATGTTTGACCTCTAGAAACAGTAAGTCAAAATGAAATTGCAATTCCTTTAATAAGCTTTTATAGTGAAGTTAGACTGTTATAAAATTACAAACACCTACTCGGATGTCTCCTGTCCAAATGCTGGGATCTCTTCCTACCAAGGTGCCCAATCACCATTTCTCCTTCTGTCTCATTTCTTTCTGGCCTCTGGCCTCTAGCCATTTGAAGTGTAATTCTCTGTCTCTCCTCCGGCAGTCTTAGCCCTCTATTTTGCTTATTACCTGAAGACTTCTGATGAAGTTTTAGGAGTTCCCCACACCCTCGATCCTGTAGTTTTCTTACCAGGGCCAAGAATGACCTCGGATGATGAGTCACTGACACACTTCTATCGTGTCCCCACTTAGCAATGCCCTTTGCATTGAGATTCCAAGGGTGGGGGCTGCTCCTTGTAAATGATTTCTCCCCACACTCTAGTCCCTCCATTCTATTCTCCCTCTTGCAGGACTCTCCCCTGAATCATATCCTAATGCACAGGACGGGGGAGTTAGGCAGGAGGGATTTAGCTCCTCCCTAACCCCTGTTCTCATGAAAAGACCCAGAACTTCAGAATTTGAAAAGGAGAGATTAATAGAGAGGTTCTTCAGTGAAATTTGGGAAAATACAAGAACGGTTGACTTAGATATTAATTTGCATGTTTGCTTTGCATCCCATTATTCCATGAGGGGGGGATTAAAACTGCTGTTCTCTAGAGCTGATGAAAGAGATTGGTTCCTTTTCATTTGAATATTGACGTTCTGGAGGGAATGGGTATGCCACCCTCACTCCTTCTTGTGTCCTTCTGACACAAAGAAGAAAAAGAAATGTATGGCTCCTGGAAGGCATCTCCTCCTAACGGAGAAGGACAAATAAGAAGTATATTTCTGAAGTATTTTCAGGTCCTGATTCGATTAGCGTACCCACTGGGATTACTGGCGTCCTATCTATCCCCATGATTCCTCCATCTTTGACATAGCTGCTGTTTGGTATCTCAGGATGGAGCAACACAGTGGACTCTGCCCCCCTGAGTTCACCCAACCTTCCCTCCACCCCCGCCTGAGGCTGTTGCACAAGGGCCCTAAAAGTGGCCACAGGAACAGGGCAAAGAGGCTTAGCTGCCACACTTACAGTGTGAGGAGCCCCAATCTCCCAAATTCCAGTCTGCTCATCCTTTCTTTATCTCCCCAGATTCACCTCACATTGTCCTGACCAATCTTCAACTCTTCTCTCTCTCCATGTCCAGCCAAATTTCTTTTTTCAGTCACTTACAGGACTTCCGGTCAAAATTCACTAGGTAGGAGGGTCATCAGCTGGGAAGAACCGGGCGCCCGGGGAACCTGGCTGGATAGTTATGGGGGAGCCAGGCCAGTCCCCTAGTGCCGGGTCCCCACATGGCAGTCCCCCAGCTCTAAGCACTCTCACTCTCCTGCTGCTCCTCTGTGGACACGGTAAGGAAGGGCCAGGGAAGGGTTTGGGGAAATCTAGAGGGTAGGCTGCTATGTAGGGGTGGGCATGTGAGCATGAGTGAGTGAGGAGACGCGGGCGCTGAGAGTCCGATCACTCACCCTGCTCTCAAATAGGTATATTTTATGTCCCATTCAGTTTGGGGAAGGGCACTGGGGAAGCCCTTGGTCGACAGGCAGAAGAGATTCCCTTTTCTTCCTACACATTTTTAGTAAGACAGCAGAGAGAACTAGGGATTTGGGGTTTGGGGGCTGGGGAAGGCCCTTAGTTGGGTTTTAGGAAGGCTGGAATTCCCTGATGAGATTTGGAAGAGTTATGATAGAGCAGAGGTCTGAGGACGGTCTCACAATCCTCTCCCTTCTGTCTTTAGCTCACTCTCAATGCAAGATCCTCCGCTGCAATGCTGAGTATGTATCGTCCACTCTGAGCCTTAGAGGTGGGGGTGCATCAGGAGGAGGAGGAGGAGGCCGGGGTGGAGGGGCGGCCTCTGGCGGCCTCTGTCGAGCCCTCCGCTCCTACGCGCTCTGCACGCGGCGCACCGCCCGCACCTGCCGCGGGGACCTCGCCTTCCACTCGGCGGTCCACGGCATCGAAGACCTGATGATCCAGCACAACTGCTCGCGCCAGGGCCCTACAGCCCCTCCCCCGCCCCGGGGCCCCGCCCTTCCAGGCGCCGGCTCCGGCCTCCCTGCCCCGGACCCCTGTGACTACGAAGGCCGGTTTTCCCGGCTGCATGGCCGTCCCCCGGGGTTCCTGCATTGTGCTTCCTTCGGGGACCCCCATGTGCGCAGCTTCCACCACCACTTTCACACATGCCGTGTCCAAGGAGCTTGGCCTCTACTGGATAACGACTTCCTCTTTGTCCAAGCCACCAGCTCCCCCGTGGCGCTGGGGGCCAACGCCACCGCCATCCGGAAGGTCAGGCACTCAATCTCCCTTCTGATCCACCTCCTGAGATTCTTCGAGGGGCACCACTTCCTCCCCATCCCCACTATTCCACAGCAGTGCTCCCTAGTTCCCTTTTCTTCCTCAACCACTCCCCCATCTTGAATCATTCCCTTCTACCAAATACTTGGAGCTGTAAATCATTTCCCCTTGATGGGAATTTCACTCAAATGCAGAAAACAGCTGGAGAGCGCATCGGAAGGGAAACTTTACCCTCTCCTAGGAAGTTGCCCAGATTAAGTAGAGAGAGAAGTTAAGTCGGGATGAGGCAATACTGGAACGTAAATAGGAGAAGGGATCAAGGACTGGGCCACAGTAGTCCTCACCTCTACCTGGATCAGACCCCTTACTGTGTGAGGTCTGACTGGGGGAGGATGCACTGAACCAAGTGAACCGTTTTCCCTCTTGCCCTCAGCTCACCATCATATTCAAGAACATGCAGGAATGCATTGATCAGAAGGTCTACCAGGCAGAGGTGGATAATCTTCCTGCAGCCTTTGAAGACGGTTCTGTCAATGGAGGTGACCGACCTGGGGGATCCAGTTTGTCGATTCAAACTGCTAACCCTGGGAACCACGTGGAGATCCAAGCTGCCTATATCGGCACAACTGTAATCATTCGGCAGACAGCTGGGCAGCTCTCCTTCTCCATCAAGGTAGCAGAGGATGTGGCCAGGGCCTTCTCAGCTGAGCAGGACCTGCAGCTCTGTGTTGACGGGTGCCCTCCAAGTCAGCGACTCTCTCGATCAGAGCGCAATCGTCGGGGAGCTCTAACCATTGACACTGCCAGACGGCTGTGCAAAGAAGGGCTTCCAGTGGAAGACGCGTACTTCCATTCCTGTGTCTTTGATGTTTTAGTTTCTGGGGATCCCAGCTTTACCGTGGCAGCTCAGGCAGCGCTGGAGGACGCCCGAGCCTTCCTGCCAGACTTAGAGAAGCTGCATCTCTTCCCCTCAGATGCTGGGGTTCCGCTTTCCTCAGCCACCCTCCTACCCCCGCTCCTTTCCGGGCTCCTTGTTCTGTGGCTTTGCATTCAATAAAGAGGCCATCAGTCCTATTACTGGTTTGGAAATGATTTGGGGATAGAGACTGGCAGAGAAGACTGTAAAGCATCATTAAAGGAAGCAGGGTGCAGGAGACCCATGAAACAATGGTATCATACAGTCAGATCAGGCTGCAGCCCAGGGTTGAAGTGATCACAGAGTAAGGATTCTGGGCAAGGTTTCTGCATTCCAGACCTCTGTGGGGCTCTTCACTAATTTTTTCAGCCCCATTTATAGTAAATAAATTGTTGTAAGCCATTTACTGCAGATATCATCCTTATAAGCTTAGAGGTCAGGAAAGTTTTGATTCTCAGTAAAGATTTAAGGGCTGAGAGATTTCAGAGATAAGAGCTGAAAGCAGAGGACATGATCATTATCCACAAGAAACTCAAAAGAGAAATAATTAGGGAAAGAAGTCTGTTTGACGAATATATGTGGCTAAGGTATGCTCCGCTTTCTTCGTTCAGAAATGAGGCGGACGTTGTCTAGATCTTTGGCGAAGGGAGTCTCTGCTTTTGAAGAATGGCACAGGCAGGATGGAAGAGACCAGCCTGTCCCTACCCCCTAACTAATCTGTTATTAAAGCTACGAATTCTTCACATGGGCCTCTGTTGCCTGTGTTGAATCTCCTTGCAGATGCTTGAAATGGAATAAATGCAATGTGTTCACTCCACTGAATGAGGGCTTGGAAGTTATCAGATACTGTTTCTATCTCAGGGACTTCTCAGGCTATTGGAGAGACAGAACCAATTCACTTGAGAGAGTGATGAGTGTGTAATTATTCACTGAATCCTAGGTATGGTGCATTCAGATGGGAAGATGGTAGATGAGAACTAAAGTATAAGAATAATAAAAGGTGACAGAGAAGATGGAACCTTCCAGGCAACGAAAACCATCTGGAGTTAGGCGTAGACTCATGATTCCTTGAGGAAATAAGCAAAACTCAAACAGTAGACGAGGAGTAATGGGACAGAAGGTTAGATGCGCAGAGGCCAGATTATGAAGTACCTTAAAAAGGGGGCAAGGGGCTTAAATTTGGTTAATAGCTAACACTTGTTGGAGCTTAAAATCTGCCAGGCGATGTTTTCAATGCTTTGTTGTTGCTGTTGGTGTTTGAGACGGAGTCTCACTCTGACACCCAGGTTGGGGTGCAATGGTGTAGTCTCAGCTCACTGCAACCTCTGCCTCTCAGGTTCAAGTGATTCTCCAGCCTCAGCCTTCCGAGTAGCTAGGACTACAGGTGCCTGCCACCACACCTGGTTAATTTTTGTATTTTATTTATTTATTTTTTTAGACGGAGTTTTGCTCTTGTTACCCAGGCTGGAGTGCAATGGCGCAATCTCAGCTCACCGCCACCTCTGCCCCCTGGGTTCAGGCAATTCTCCTGCCTCAGCCTCCTGAGTAGCTGGGATTACAGGCGTGAGCCACCATGCCCAGCCTGTCTTAAGCACTTTTAAAATACCGCTTACATTCTCACACCTCTCTAAGGAAGGTGTTATTGTTCTCCCATAGAGGGAAACTTGCCTTCAGTCACATAGTTAACAAATGGCAGAGCCGGAAACTGAACCTATGCTGTTTGGATCCAGAAACTCAATTTTTAATCACTACACTATATTGTCAAGGAAGCAGAGAGCCATTAAAAATTCTGGTTGTGGAGCTGGTAAAGATTCTCAAAGGGGAGCTGTGGTGGTGGACATCACCAGAAAAGCCACTCTGAGGCTGGGCACAGTGGCTGACACCTGTAATCCCAGCACTTTGGGAGGCCAAGGTGGGCAGATCACTTGAGGCCAGGAGTTTGAGACCATGAGCCTGGGCAACATGGCAAGACCCCATCTCTACTAAAAATACAAGAAATTAGCCAGGCATGATGGTGCATGCCTATAATCCTGTAACCCTGGCTACTCAGGAGGCAGAGACGTGAGAATCAATTACTTGAACCCAGGCTGGGAGACAGAGGTTATAGTGAGCTGAGACCATGCCACTGCACTCCAGCCTGAGCAACAAAGTGAGACTGTCAAAAAAAAAAATGTAAAAGCTGCTGTCTTCTCATATAAAGCCAAAAAGAGGAAGTTGGAAAAGGAGGGAAAGCCTAAGGTTGAAGGAATCTAGTTTATAGAAGAAAGACTGAGAAGACATGCTGTTCTAGGTGAGGGTGCTCTAAAGCAACAATGCCGCTCTGGGGCTGGGCATGGCGGCTCAGGCCTGAAATTCCAGCACTTCGGGAGGCCGAGGCGAGCGGATCATGACGTCAGGAGTTCAAAGACCAGCCTGGCCAACATGATGAAGCCCCGTCTCTACCAAAGATACAAAAACTTAGCCAGGTGTGGTGGTGGACAGCGGTAATCCTATCCATTCAGGAGGCTGAGGCAGGAGAATAGCTTGAACCCAGCAGGTGGAGGATGCAGTGAGCCAATATTGCACCATTGCACTCCAGCCTGGGTAACAGGGCGAGACTCCGTCTCAAAAAAAAGAAAAAAAAATGCTGCTCTGAACAAAGTTTGCATTTAATATCTTACCCGTTTCCGTTCTCAACCTCCCCCATCGGATACTCCATAACCGAGGGCCTGCCGTCTCTGCCCCAGTCATGTACTGACCAGTATCTTCCACCTGTCCTCCTAGTCCCACCCACCTGAAAATACTCCCCTGAAGAAATATTACAGTAGGACCCTTTGTATCTACTAATTCTGCATCCGCAGATTCAATCAATCATGCATTGAAAATATTTGGGAAAAAAATAACAACACAACAATAAAAAATACAAATACAAATACAGTATAATAACTTTTTATGCCGGGCGCAGTGGCTCACACCTGTAATCCCAGTACTTTGGGAGGCCAAGGCGGGTGGATCACCTGAGATCAGGAGTTGGAGACCAGCCTGGCCAACATAGTGAAAACCCATCTCTACAAAAAATACAAAAAAATTAGCTGGGCGCAGTGGCGCGCACCTGTAGTCCCAAGTACTCGGGAGGCTGAGGCAGGAGAATCACTCGAACCTAGGAGGCAGAGGTTACAGTGAGCTGAGATCCAGCCAGTGCCTGGGCAACAGAGTGAGACTCTGTCTCAAAAAAAGAAAAAGTATAGGGAAGGATGTACACAGGTTATACGCAAATACTACATACTATGCCATCTTATATAAGGGACTTGAGCATCGTCAGATTTTGGTATGTGAGGGTGTAGCTGGTCCTAGAACCAATCCCCTTTGGATACCAAGGGACAACTTTGGCCAGTACTTACCAGGCAAGGTGTCCTATCTAGTCTGCCATTTCAAGCTTCTCCTGCAATTCTTATCCTCGATTCCGTCCTCTCCACCTCTTCTAAGAACCACAGCCATTCTGCCATTCCCTCCAAGCACTGTTTCTATGCTTTCCTAAGGAATCTTTAGCCAATGGAGAAAATAGTGTGTTCCGATGGAAAAAACTGGAAGAGACATATCGAGGCATCTCTTACGTCACAGAAAATATACGTACTGTAACTCAAAATATCCTTTTAAAGAAACATTCTTTGTATTGGTTCTCATAACTCAAAAGAGTAACTTTATCTCTCAGCTGTGGGAATTTCAAGTCAATTGAGAAGAATTCCACAGCCAACTGGTAAGTGAAATTCTTTGATGACACCTGTCATGTAACACTCTTCCTTCGCCCAGACTTAGTACTAGCCTTATTACTTTTTCTCTTTTTTTGAGGTAAGTTTTGCTTTGTCGCCCAGGGCTAGAGTACGGAGGCATGATCTCGGCTCCCTGCAGCCTCCACCTCCCAGGTTCAAGTGATTCTCCTGCCTCAGCCTCCCGAATAGCTGGGATTACAGGTGCCCGCCACCATGCGTGACTAATTTCTGTATTTTTGGTAGAGATGGGATTTCACCATGCTGGCCAGTCTGGTCTTGAACTCCTGGCCTCAAGTGATCTGCCCGCCTCAACCTCCCAAAGTGCTGGGATTATAGGCATGAGCCACCGTGCCTAGCAAAACTAGCCCTATTATTAATGGAGTATTTTTAAATTGGTAGCTTAAAATAAACATATGAAAAGATGCTCAACATCATTAGTCATTGGGTAAATACAAATCAAATTAAAACAATGAAAAAAATACTACACACCCATTAGAATGGTTAAAATGAAAAAGACTGATTCATCAAATACCGAATGTTGGGAAGTTTTCATATGCTGTTGGTGGGAATGTAAAATGGTACAACTGCTTTGTAAAACCGTTTGGCAGTTCGATAAAAGGTAAGTGTTCATTAATATGTTCATTAAAAGCTAAAATACACATATATAAATATATATGTCCATGATATAATATAAATATATACATGCTCACATTATGTATATAATATATATAACACATTATATATCTAATATATTGTGTGTATATATATTATAGATGTTTATATATATATATACACCCGTGTATATATGTTATATATTTATGTATATTATATATATGTAAAAACCTATGAAATGACAGACCTTAAATATGTACAATTTATCATATGTAAAGTACATTTCAATAAAGCTGTAGGTTGTTTTGATGGGTAGCACGTCTTTCTCTCTTTCCTTGGTGGATCAGACAAAAGGCTTAAGATTATCATAGCATGACAAGGAAGATGACAACAGAGACTTTCCTCCTTCTAGGAAACATACAAAAGAAGAGGATACAGAGCAAAGGAACGAGCATATTTAGTGATTTCATATTCACTTTCCTAGCACCAGGACCACATTCCTTCCTCCAGAATGTCATTCTGAAAGTTGGAGACCACAGAAAGATTTTCCAGTTAAGAACATCAACCCTGTGACCCCATAATTCTGTCTTTCCACTTCACCAAGAGTCAGCAGGTGGTGCTAGTGACTAAAAAGTGCCTTGGCAGACAATGAGGCAAGTTTCCAGGAAAAGAAAAATTAATGTCTAAGATTATCTGACATGCTGACCATTTGAGAGAAAATATGAATAGGCATTTGCCAGAACTGACATTTAGGAAATGAACTGAAGATACGTACACAGTAAACAAAGTAAAATTTTAAGTAAATTATAATTTAACAATAAACAAAGCGTTGTTCAAGACATAAACAATCAATATATACTTGGTTCCTCAATGGATATCATTTACACAGTAATACTATTACTGCAAACACTTCATTGATTCAGCCAGAACTATGCTATAACTTCCTACTGGGAGGAGGAGGTAAGGGGCAAGGAAAGGTGGGGATACAGCATGATGTAAGAGTTAAAATTGCAATTACCATAACCAGAGAGAGTAGATAAGTCTAGCATTTCTTTTTTTATTTTTTGAAACAGAGTCTCACACTGTCACCCAGGCTGGAGTGCAGTGGTGCAATCTCGGCTCACTGCAACCTCTGCCTCCAAGGTTCAAGCAATTCTCCTGCCTCAGCCTCCTGAGTAGCTGGGACTACAGGCATGCACTACCACACCCAGCTAAATTTTGTATTTTTAGTAGAGACAGGTTTCACTACGTTGGCCAGGCTGGTCTCAAACTCCTAACCTCAAGGAATCTGCCCACCGAGGCCTCCCCCCTCAAAAAGAAAAATACACACACGCACACACACACGTATATAATGTTAGCAAATATATAGTGTGAAAAGGAGATCAACGGTTGCATAAGAGATGAGCAGAGAGAAGGAAGAATGTCTTACATGAAGTAGGCCAGGCACAGTGGCTCACACCTATAATCCCAGCACTTTAGGAGACTGAGATGGGTGGATCGCCTGAGGCCAGGAGTACCAGACCAGCCCAGCCAACATGGGGAAACCCCATCTCTATTAAATAACAATTAGCCAGGCATGGTGGTATGTCCCTGTAGTTCCAGCTACTCAGGAGGTTGAGGCAGGAAAATCACTTGAACCCGGGGGGATGGAGGATGCAGCAAGCCAAGATCCCAAGATTGCACCACTGCACTCCAGCCTGGGCAACAGAGCAAGAGTCTGTCTCAAAAAAAAAAAAAAAAAAAAAAAAAAAAAAAGTAAAGAAAAGAAAAGAAAAGAAATATGAAATACATACCAGACCGGAAAAAAAAAAAAAAAAAGCTAAAAGAGGCAGGGTGCAGTGGCTCATGCCTGCAATCCTAGACGTGGATTTAAGAGGCCTAGAAAGGTTGATTGCTTGAGTCCAGGAGTTCAAGACTAACCTGAGCAACATAGCAAAACCCGGTCTCTACAAAAAATATAAAAATTAGCTGGGTGTGGTGGTGGGTGCCTGTAGTCCCAGATACTTGGGAGGCTAAGTCAGGAGGATCACCTGAGCCTGGAAAATCGAGGCTGCAGTGAGCCATGATCGTGCCACTACACTCTGGCCTGGGCGATAAAGTGAGATCCTGTCTCAAAAAAAGGGTGGGATGGGCCAGGTGCAGTGGTTCACACCTGTAATCCTAGCACTTTGGGAGGCTAAGTGGGGACGGATCACTTGGGCCAGGAGTTCAAGAACGGCCTGGCCAACATGGTAAAACCTCATCTCTACTAAAAATACAAAAATTAGGCGGGGGTGGTGGTGTGGGCCTGTAATACCAGATATTTGGGAGGCTGAGGCGGGAGAATTGCTTGAAGCCAGGAGGTGGAGGTTGCAGTGAGCTGAGATTGCCCCACTGCACTCTAGCCTGAGTGACAGAGTGAGACCCTGTCTCAAAAAAAAAAAAAAAAAGAAAGAAAGAAAAAGGGGCTTGGGCTTGAAGACTGCTGGTTTTTGTGAAATCATTTAATATGTGATTTTTAACTACATGATGTTACATTACATTGATTAAAAAGAGGAACACTTCTGACGAAACGAAGTGGTTCATAGCTATAATCCCAGTGTTTTGGGATGCCAAGGCGGGTGGATCACAACCAGCCTGGCCAACATGGCAAAACCCTGTCTCTACTAAAAATACAAAAATTAGCCAGGCGTGGTGGCTGACGCCTGTAATCCCAGCTACTTGAGAGGCTGAAGCAGGAAAATCACTTGAACAGGGGAGACAGGTTGCAGTTAGCCGAGATCGTGCCTCTGCACTCCAGCCTCAGCAACAAAGGGAGACTTTGAAAAAGAAAAAGAAAAAAGGGGCCAGGCGCGGTAGCTCACGCCTGTAATCCCAGCACTTTGGGAGGCCGAAGCGGGTGGATCATGACGTCAAGAGATCAAGACCATCCTGGTCAACATGGTGAAACCCCATCTCTACTAAAAATACAAAAAATCAGCTGGGCACAGTGTTGCGTGCCTGTAATCCCAGTTACTCAGGAGGCTGAGGCAGGAGAATTGCCTGAACCTGGGAGGCGGAGGTTGCAGTGAGCCGAGATCACGCCATTGCACTCCAGCCTGGGTAACAAGAGCGAAACACCGTCTCAAAAAAAAAAAAAAAAAAAGAGCATTTCCACCTTGGCCTGAGCTTCTTCCCCTTAACTTCTTCATTTGTGGCCATCTCAGCCACTTCTCAGAGCAACCCAACAGCTCCCTCCCCACTCTACTCCTCTCTCTGTACTTCATGGCAAGTTCCTTCCCACATTTCTTCTCAAGGAAACAGAGATAATAGCCATGGTGCCCAGTAATTACCGTTCTCAAATCAGTGCCAGGAAACCATACCAGCACTAAGGAAGGGGAAAGAGGCAGTAAACTAGGAAATAAAAGGCCTTCCTCAATTTTTCTGTGTACTCCCAAACCAAATTACTAATCATTTTTCCAACAATTAACAGAAGAAGTAAGCTACATATGTTTCCTGAGATAAAAGTTGTATAAATGGTGGGTGGACTTTGAGAAACTGAAAACGAAACCAGGAAGGAGAACTAGATTCTACCTCCAGTACAGGGCTATTGTGGAATCATTCATTGCTATTGGGTCAGAGAACCAATTTTTTTTTTTTTTTTTTTTTTTTTTTTTTGAGACAGGGTCTTACTTTGTCATCCAGGCTGGAGTGCAGTGGCTCAGTCTCAGCTCACTGCAGCCTTGACCTCCTAGGCTCAAGCAGTCCTCCTGCCTCAGCCTCCTAAGTAGCTAGGACTACTGGTACGAGCCACCACGCCCTTCTAATGTTTTTGTTTTTGTAATTTGGGTTTTTGCCATATTTCCCAGGCTGATCTCAAACTCCTGGGCTCAAGGAATCCACCTACATTGGCCTCCCAAAGTGCTAGGATTATAGGCATGAGCTACCACGCCCGGCACAGAACCAATATTTTTAATATTAAGGGTTTCACATAGTCTTTGATATAACACTTCTACCTTTGAGAGACTAAGTCATATTTTCAAAAAAGTAGGCTGGCTGGGAGCAGTGTCTCATGCCTGTAATCCCAGTACTTGGGAGGCGAAGGTAGGAGGACTGCTTGAGCCCAGGAGTTTGAGACCAGCCTGGGCAACAGGGTGAGATACCCGTCTCTACAAAAAAATTAAAAAACAGCCGGATGTGGTGGCACAACCCTGTAGTCCCAACTACTTGGGAGGCTGAAGTGG